GAAGCCGGCCGGCGCCATTTTTAAATGCCGGCTAGTTCGAACCCCGTGCCGCGTGGCTACACGCAGCACGGAGTAGCTAGTGGAATGAGGAGTACAGCTAGTTCGGATTAGGAAGCCTAATCTGAACTAGCTACTCCGTGCTGCGTGTAGCCACGCGGCACGGGGTTCGAACTAGCCGGCATTTAAAAATGGCGCCGGCCGGCTTCATGCAAATGAAGCCCGGGAAATTCAAATCCTGGGCTTCATTTGCAATTGCGGACGACTACATTGCCCCCGCTAGTTCGAACTAGCGGGGTAGTGTAGACATACCCTTAGAGACAGGGACAATCCTTTTTGTTCAATGCTTCACATAGTGATATCCTGGGCCATATACATGATAATACAATTAATAAGCAATAAATAAAATTAGATTGAAAAACATGATAAAGATTAAACTACACTTTCTTTAGCCTGTAATTTATTAGGTCCTTAGCAAGACTTTTCCAATAAAGAGATATCAGCTGTAAACATTTACAAAACAGAAAGAAAAACGTACTTGGGCATTCTTGCATCAGTGACAACCATTGCCCTGCTAAATTCCACTTTCACATCCAAAGGCTGTAAGATATGGTGTGATGAATATTTTAGCTTACGAGCCTCCTTCCAATTTTCTTCTAGAGAAAGGAAAACAGTTGTATTTATTTTATAGCACAACAGATTTTTCCAAGTTGAATACAATGACAAAGCGTGTTTTGGAGTTGGGAAAGGTGAAGATGCCAAAATCACAAGTGAAATTCTATGGTCTATATATTATGCACCAGACCAGGCTAAGTGATCTTGAGACCTTTAGGCCTCAAATGTCTATGTATTTTTAAGAATGCAAAAAAGAAGTGTATATTTACACTTGAAACTGAAGTCTATCTATATTAGGTTGGCTTACCTCTACCACAGTAATTACTGCAGAAGTGCATGTCCACACTACCCAGCCTAAGCTGGTGTTATGTCCTCACCATGAGTGCCTCCACCAACCTAAAAAGGGCAGGTTGGGGAGCCTGGTTGCTCAGCTGTGTTGGCTAGGGATGTAAAATCCCCTTTTAATGGTTAAATGCGTGGAAGCCACCGTGATCAGGCTAGATGCTCCCAGCCCTGAGGGGGGCTGCTGCTGAGGCCGTGGCTCCCATTCTGGGGCTGCCAGTCACCATTAAGGGTGATGTTACTGGGCAATCGTTTATCCAGTTACCCATTAACATCTCTAGTGTTGGCAGCTTCCTCTCAGGAGCCTGACTGCCTCTCAGGATGCTGTTCCCCCTCCCCCTGCAACATCCTCTGGCTTCCCGTTCCCCACCAAAAGTGGAGTTTGGGAGTTGCTCAGAGCTTCTTACAACTGGGGGAGCAGTGTTTAGGCCCCCTAGCTTTTTGAGCTGTCCCCTCTCATCCAGGGAGAGGTAAGGGGCTTACTGGGCTTCTCACCCAGCTGGATTCAAAGCTGCCCCCCCCACTTCTGACCCCATGAATCAAAGCCACCCAGGCTTCAGCTCCCAGATGAGATGGAATTATGACGTCTGCGTATTTCAGTATTTACGGCCGTAAAAGGAAGGCTGTAGTGCAGACAGGGATGTAATCAGGGCTGGCTCTAGGCACCAGCAAAACAAGCAGGTGCTTGGGGTGGCACATTGCCAGGGGCAGCATTCCGGCCTAAGGAGGAGCAGGCAAGGAGCCCTGTGGAAGCCGCCCCGAGCTGGAGCCCCGCGCCAGGCTGCTCAGAGCCTGCGCCTGGCCCCAGGGTGCTGGGAGGGCAGGGCGGGGCACTGGGAAGGCGGGGTGGGGCGCCTGGCCCCTGTGCAGGGCAGCTGCAGCTGGTGATGCTGAAGACAGCGGGGCAGGCCTCAGCTATGGTGGCTGCTCCAGGCAGCCAGCTCACTGGAGCGGAGTTCAGGGGCTCGGCGGGCACTGGGGCTCAGCCACGGCGGGGCTCCAACCCGCAAGCGGGGAGCCCCCCGGAGGCCGCCTCGAGCTAGGAACCTCGGACCCAGCTACTTGGAGCCTGAAGGGCAACCCCGAGGCGCGGCTCCTGCTTGGGTGCTTCCTGGAGGGTGGCTGCAGGTGGTGAGGCTGAGCCTGGGGACAGCCTCTTCACCTTCGTGAGTGCCCCTCCTCCCCCTGGCCGGCCACCTCCCTCCCGTGTGCCCTTCCCGCAACTTCCCCTCCCCCAAAACTCCCCTGCCTGTGAATCCCCCCTTGCCCGACTGTCCCCCCCACCAGCCCTCTTCATAAGAGTTGGACAGCTTATGTGTTGGTGCTGGAGTCTGAGTGATTATATAAGGCTTCTAATAATAAAATCCCTTTGCAGAGTGAGGAGTGGGATCGGGAATCCAGCACTAGGTGATGTGAACAGCTGCATGCTTTGGAAGTCTTTACCTGACTTTCTGTGGATAAACCTGCCCTCCTCACGTGGTGAGTTCCTGGTGATCTCCTAGGAGATGAAAATGCCCCAGGGTTTGGGCTCCCCCTGAAGCGCGCACCCCACCTCCCAGGAAGCCACACAAGCTGCATTTGCACGCGCCCCCCCCCCGGACAAAAAGGGGGGGGGGATTTTTTGCTTGAGGCGGCAAAAAACCTAGAGCCAGCCCTGGACGTAATTGCCTTATGGCAACCTGCGTAACACAGATGAGCACCAAGATTGCAAAGCTTGGCTGATAGGCTTACTTAAGGGCTAGGGAAATTCACTGTGTATAAATGTGTGGGCCTCAATTTGCAGTTTTAAAAGTATCTATCCTAAAGACGATCATGCCCCAGCATGTGCTAATCTGCGGAAGTGAAGAACAAAATTTAGTGTAAACTCAATGATTGGTTAAAAATTGGCACATCGGTTAGCAAATTTTTTTGTTCAGTTGGCAGAACAAAAAGCAATTTATTTTGTGAATACTTACGATGTTTGCAGTAAAGTAGCTGTATACTGCTGAGTTGAATATCAAAGCTATCATAAGCTTTTGACATGATATCTTCAATGGTGGTTTGACCTACTTTGAGTTCTGACACATCAGAACGACTTTTACTCGTCATCTTAAAAATAAATCACAAAAAATAAAACAATTAAAATCAATTTAAAAGGCCTTCAAAGCACTGGTTACATAAATATTCAACATCTAGCATGATTAGATGTCAAATATCAAATAATTAAAAAAACAACAACACAGGATCCTTAGGACTAATATACCAGATCAGACCAGTAATTTATTTAATGGAAAATCCTGTCTCCAGTAGAAGCCAGAATTAAATACTTTGCAAGAAGCCCCATAATGAACTACTATGAAATAAACTGCTCATAGGAGAAATTGGTTCTTAAACTCCTATTAGTTATTGAGTGACTTCTATCCAGGCGCATGAGGAATCATATTCCTTATAGTAACAATAACAAAATAAGCTGTAATAGTTTACCATGCAACAGTCTAATCTTTTTTATCCTGCCAATTTAAACTCTCACTTTCTAATGTAATTTGTAGCAGAATTACATACTTTCCAATATACATGGAAATGTATTTCCTTTTAATCAGTTTTAAATTTCTTGCACTTCAATCTTATAAGCCATCACACTGGTCTTCTATTATGAAAAACGGTAAACATAAAAGTGTCTAAATGTCCTCAGTACCATTCTGTATATTCATGCTATCCCCTTTACTCATCTACTAATTTAGACAAGTCCTCGTCTTTTTAATCCCATAAAAAAATTCTCCCAGGCTTCTAGTCATCATCTACCTTCAGAAACTTATATTTGTAAGATATGTTTCTGAGATGAGTTAAACAATCTTTAAAAAAAAATGCAATTATGAAGTTCCATCCTAGATCAGTGGTTTTCAAATGTTTTGTTCCACAGCCCACCCTGCTCAACACAGACTTTTCCATGGACCACCAGCCAAACACCCATGACAAAAGGAATGCAAGACGGGTTTGGGGTGCACCGTCTGGCTGGGAGGTAAGGCACAGGAGTGGGCTGAGGGTGAGGGTTCTGAGTGAAAGGTGAGGTGCAGAAGGGGGCTGAGGGTGGGTGTTGAAGATGAAGGTGACCGGTGAGGGAGGGAGAAGTGTACAGGAGTGGACTGGGGATCTCCATGGAAAGAGGTATTTGAGGGGGATGAGAGTACAGCATCTGGGCATGAGGGGAAGGGGGATACTTACTTGGCTCCATGCCTCCGGCTGCTCTCAGACACTGCCATCCACTGGCCATAATTCTAGTCAATGAGAGCAACAAGGAAAGCCTCCAAGTGAGTGGTTTCCTGTGCTGCTGTTCTCCTAGAGATAGAGGGAACAGCAGCGCACGGAGCTGCTTCCTTCCCCTGCAAGCCAGATCTAGCCCACGAGGCACAACCCCTCCACACACAGAGCCTTGGCAGCTGGGGAAGGCATGAGCCCTTTAAATAGAAGCAGATGAAAGGGCTCTGGTTCCCAGGCAATGCACTAGCAGTTAAAAGGGTTTGCCCACTGTTAGCACATTCCCTGGGAGCCACGCACAAGCCCTTTTAACTGCTTCTATTTAAAAGGACTCAGGCCTTCCCTGTTGTTGGCAGGCAACAGCCTCAGGGAAAGCATAAGCCCTTTAAACAGAAGCAGTTGAAAGGGCTCGCATGCCCCTGGCTCCCAGGCAATGAACTAGCAGTGAGGCCAGGAGCAGCAAGCCCTTTCAATATCAGGAACTGAAAGGGCTTGCAGCTCGCATGTCTGGCTAAAGTGATGCCCGGGAGCCGCAGGGGAAGTGCAAGCTCTTTAAACTCCTGCTTTTTAAAAGCTCCACCCCTGCCATTCGAGACCCCACCCTGTTCAGGGCGGCCTGTGACCATTTCAAAAATGTTTTGAATTGGTCCCCACTCAAAAATTATTGCCCACCCCCTGCTCTAATAATAGGAGACAAAAGACAGAACTAGGGAGAGAAATCACATCAAGTATCCTCCTTTTCTACTAATACAAGAAGTATGGGGAATAAGCAAGAAGAACTGATAATGCTAATAAATAAACTCAACTATGACATGGTTGGTGTCACAGACGTTTGGTGGGATAATAGACACGACTGGAATACTGGTATACAAAGATAGAGCTTGTTCAGGAAGGACAGGAAGAGAAAAAAGGAGAAGGTGTTGCCTTATATATTTAAAATGTATACACTTGAACTGAGGTTGAGATGGAAATAGGAGACACTTTTTGAGACTGAGTAAGAATAAAAGGGGTTAAAAAAAAAGAGGGTGATCTCATTTTAAGGGCTCTACTACAGACCACCTACCCCGGAAGAAGAGGTGGATGAGGCTTTTTTTGAACAACAAAATCATGCAAAGCACAGGGATTATAGGGAATTTCAACTCTACAGATTATCTGTTGAGAAAAGAAAATAGCATGGCACAGATTATCCAAGTTCTTGGAATGTATAAGAAACAATGGTTTTTTTTCCCCAGAAGGTGGAGAAAGCTACTGGGGGGAGGCTGTTCTAGATTTGATTTTAACAAATAGGGAGGAATTGGTTGAGAATTTGAAAGCGAATGGGAGCATGGGTGAAAGTGATCATGAAACGGTAAGAGTTCATGATTCTAAGGAATGGGTAGGAGGGAGAACAGCAAAATAAAGGCAATGGATTTCAAGAAGGCAGACCTTAGCAAACTTGGAGTTGGTGGGTAAGATCCCATGGGAAGCAAGTTTAAGAGGAAAAACAATTGAACACAGCCGTTTTTAACAAAACATTATCAAGGGTACAAGAGCAAACTTTTCCACTGCATTAGAAAGATAGGAAAATATGGCAAGAGACCACCATAGCTTACCCAGATGATGTTGAGTGATTTCAAAATAAAAAATTAGTTCCACAAAACGTGGAAACTAAGTCAAATTACAAAGGATGAATATAAACAAGTAACAGATGTATGTAGGGGCAAAATTAGAAATGCCAAGGCACAAAACAAGATCAAAGTAGCTAGGGACATAAAGGGGGATAAAAAATATTCTACAAATATAACAGAATCAAGAGAAAGACCAAAGACTCAACAAAGAGGGAAAAACAATACAGGTTGAACCTCCCTGCTCAGGTACCCTCAGGGCCTCATTGGTCCTAAACCAGGGAATTTGCCAGACCAGCGGAGGCCACTGCCAGCCCCTCCACTCCTGGCCACCAAGGCTCTCCTGCTCTGGTCTCCAGGTCACTGTGGCTCCCCTGCTCTGGCCACCAGCCCTCGGAACCCCACAGCTCTCCTGCTCTGACCACGACGGCTCCCATGCTCCAGCCCACAGGGCGCAATGCAATGTTCCCTTTAACGTTTTTCATCCAGGTACAAAATAAATTTTTACATGCACCAAGGCATGTGTGAACTGTGCAACTCTGCTAATCAGCTGGGCAGCACTTGAATCTCTTCTGAGTGGCCACACAAGCGCACAGCCTCCAGAGCTCCCCTGCTCAGACCACTGGGAGATTCTTTCCTGGTCTGGCAACAATCCTGGTCCCAGCTTGCTGGCTATTCCCTGTGAATGCTCCAGACCCAGAGTACCCAGAGGGTCAGCAACCGAAGCTGGACCATGGATATTGCCAGACTGGGGAAATCCTGATTACAGAGATTCAACCTCTAACAGAAAATGTGGAAATGTGAAAGGTGGCTAATGACTTTTGTTACCGTTTTCACCAAGAAGGTTGGTGGTGAAGGGATGCCTACCATAGTGAATGCCAGTGAAAATGGGATAGGTTCAAAAGCTAAACTAAGAACAGAACAAGTTAAATATTATTTAGACAAGTTAGAGGTCTTCAGGGCACAAGGACATCCTAGAATACTCAAGGAGCATACTGAGGAGATATCTGAACCATTAGCTATTATCTTTGAACTCATGGAAGCTGGAAGAGATTCCAGAAGACTGGAAAAGGGCAAAGACAGTGTCCATCTATAAATAAGGGATAAATAAGGACAAACCAAGCAATTACAGACCAGTCAGTTTAACTTCTGTACCGGAAAAGATAATGGAGCAAATAATTAAGGAATCCATTCACAAGCATCTAGAAAACAATAAGGTGATAAGAAACAGCACAAATTTGTAAAAAACACGTCACATCAAATCAACCTGGTAGCCTTGTGGGGAAGGGAAAAGCAGATGATGTGGCATAACTCAACTTTGGGAAGGCATCTGATATGCCTCTCTCACGACCTTCCCACTAACAATCTAGGGAAATACAACCTAGATGGAGCTGCTGTATGGTGGGAGCACAACAGAGAGAGTGGTTCACAGTCATGGCAGAAAGGCATAATGAGTGGGTTCCACAGGGATCAGTTTTGGGATTGATTGTTCGATGTCTTCATCAACAATATAGATAATGTCATTGAGAGTACACTTGTAAAGTTTGTGGATGATATCAAACTGGGAGGGGTTGAAACTGCTTTGTAGGATAGGATTATAATTCAAAATTATCTAGACAAAAGGGAGACATGGTCTGAAGTAAATAAGATGAAATTCAACAAGGATAAATGATAAGCACTCCACTTAGGAACAATCAATTTCACTCATGTAAAATGGGAAATGACTGTCTAGCAAGGAGTATTGCAGAAAGAGATCAAGAGGTCAGAGTGGACTACAAAATAAATATGAGTAAAACATGTGACACTGTTGCAAAAAAAGCAAATATTATTTTGGGATGTATTAATAACAGCGTTGTAAAGCAAGATACGAGAAGTAATTCTTCCGCTCTACTCTGCACTGATTAGGCCTCAATTGGAGTAATGTGTGCAGTTCTTGGCTCCATATTTCATGAAAGAAGGTCCAGAAATGATTATAAGGTCCAGAAAACATGATGTATGAGGGAAGATTAAAAGAACTGGATTTATTTAGTCTGAAAAAGAGAAGACTGAGAGGAAACTGGATAAACAGCAATAGCAAACATTCTCACAATGGGAAATGTCAAGCAAATCTAATATGCAGATAGACAGAGATCAATTTCTAACATATAAAGAAAGGAAACATGCGAGTTTAAATTTTGTTAGCTCAATCAGAGGTCTATCAAGTTGGTGGAAGCCATAATATTTTTTGTGTTTTGTAGGGTGTCAAATACTTTAATAGAATATTATATACATTTAATTTATCTTTGCTTGCTTTTTTCCTTACACTTCAGTTTAAATAATCTATACATCTATAAATTTAGATGATAAAAACTCTGAAGTACAATACTCAAATGATCACTCTGTTCAATTCATATCATTTTAGTGAATAATGAACAAAGAAAATAGCATTGACAAGGAGAGGGAGGAAAAGGACAAACAATATTGGGAGGTCAATATTGTCTAACTGCATTACCAACACTTCCATTGCTTCCTGGGATCTCAGAAGACACTGAGGGTTAAATTGGAGCTAAACAACAGCATTGAACCCAGAGAGGCAGGACTGGTGGCTGTAAACAAACTTTACTGGACTGAGGGAAAGTTGGTCACACCCATGAAGAGTGGACATCTGGCTCAATTATGCTGATCACGGATGTTGTTGGACAAGAGAGTGCCATACTACAGAGGTTCAATCTGTTGAATCTTAGTCACATGTGTCAAAGTAAAGAGATTCGGTTTCTTTGTATTGCAATACTGCACTAGAGATGCCAGGATTAAAAATTGTTAACACTTTTCATCTATTACTTTTAGGGACATTCAAAGATTCATAAAGGAAATGGTCTCATTTTTGTCATCTATGCTAGTAACTCTGAAGTGGATTAGAGAAGTGTTCAAAAGAGAAGAAATCCAGTCTTGACTCAAAAGCAGTTTAAAATGAATGAGGAACATTTAAATTAACCAGTTACATGCAACAGAATTTAGGTTAATTTATTAGAACAAACAGAAACCAAATTATCACAAACAATAAATCATTTAATGAGTGGAAATTGTACCTGTAGGTTACCAAGATCCAGAAGAAGTAAACTGGACTTAGACTCATAAAATCCATTTTGGGGAACAAGGATGTATGATGCCATTAAATTAATTTTTAGATCAAGAACTTTCTGTGTTTCAATAATATATAATAATCCTAGGAAAATAATCACATTGAGACAGTTAAGGAGCCAACATTAAACCATATCTTTAAACAGATTTAAAATAAATTATGGTGATGATTTATGAACAGGAGGATGAATTTAATTACAATAAAAAGACCAAAAATACACAGCTTAAATTGTTCAACCACATCAAACTTGCCAACAGTCCCAAATGTTTGGTAATTTGGTTTATTCTGATAGTCTCAATTCTCTTTATCTGTTCCACTTTCAGAAACATTTCATAATTAACGTAGTTCAGTGTTCCAAGTATCCATGAATAATAATCAATCATGCCAGCCCTAATGAACATAGCATAAACCGTGACAAATAAGATATTCTCTAAGAAATCACATAACCATGTTCATGAGGACTGTGTGACAGTCTAAGCTTAATACACTGGAACTGAGTTATAACAAAAAAAATCATGTGACAATGAGATCTGCTTTTAATTAAAGTTTAGTATCAGAGGGGTAGCCGTGTTAGTCTGAATCTGCAAAAGCGACGAGGAGTCCTGTGGCACCTTATAGACTAACTGAAGTGTAGGAGCATAAGCTTTCGTGGGCAAAGACCCACATGCATCTGACGAAGTGGGTCTTTGCCCACGAAAGCTTATGCTCCTACACTTCAGTTAGTCTATAAGGTGCCACAGGACTCCTCGTCGCTTTTAATTAAAGTTTAAATCTTCAATGTATTTTCTCTATTTCCCATCTATTTTTACCATGTCTTAGTCTGATAATTTCTGAGTCATTGCTCAGAAAAAACAATTTTATTGAATCATTTTTACAAAAGACTCCATTACCTGGGAAAGTCAGTCAACTACTGCTAGCCCCAAGAATTCAGCAAATTGAGACAAAAAAAGTAAAGAAACAAATCATATTGTTTTTAAAATAACAAGACTTGTAATATACACACACTACCTTATGAGTTTTTGAAATGTAAGCCTCAGCTACTAATTTAGCTATGATCATTAATCAATCTGGTTAAGCAAGAAAGTGAAGGTTGAAAACAAGAAATGAAAAAGAGGAAGTAGACAGCCATCAATAAACATCAAGAGGCATTAAGTGGAGAAAATTGATAACGGAAGCTGAAGACAACAAGAAAAATTCCATGCTGACAGAGCTGGAGGACAAGGAAAAGAATCTTTTTTTTTAAACATATATTAGGGACAAAAGAATTCCTAACAATGGCATGGGTCCATTACTAAATGGAGATGGTAAAAATGTTAATTTAGAAGAGGAAAAAGCATTTACTAAAATCTTCTATATTTGTAAAGAAGCAGGATGAAATAGGATTAGAATGATGAAGTCCTTTGCAATCCCTAAATAACTAAGGAGGATGTTAAACAGCTTCTACTAAGTATAGGTTGGGACCTCTCTGGTCTGACACCTTCTGGACCTCCGTGGTCCCAGATGAGAGAATTTGCCGGACCAGGGGAGGCCTCTGCCAGCAACCCTCTTAGCCTGCCGCCTCTCCCTGCTGCTGGTTCCTTCAGCCACACTGCCAGGCAGGCGACAGCTGCCCTGGCCCTGCTGCCAGAAAGGCTGGCACAGTCCCAACTCCGCTGCAGAGCTAGTCCCACTCCTGGGCAGCAGATGGCTGAGCAGCCCTGGTCCCAGACAGGTTATTGTGGCAGCACAAGCCCTGCTGCTGGACGAGCACTCAGCCCTAACTGGGCTGCCGGCCTGCCCCAGCTGGGTTGCTGCAGCCCTGGACAGGCTTTCCCTGCTGGGCTTGCTGTGGCCAGCCTTTCTGCCACCCGGACAGCTGTGGCCCCAGCTCTGCTGCTGTTCCGGCACATATGGGCTGCTTTTGTAGCAAAAGATGGGCTGACAATGGGATTTGAAACAGCAGTAAAAAAGCCAAGAAACCACAAATACGATCCAAAATATATGGAATATGGATTCACATGGACTTGCTTTCAGGAAAAATCATGGCCACAGCACATGTGTGTGGTAAAGTTCTGGTAAAAGAGAGCTTAAAATAGATTAAAATACGGTGGCACTTGCAGACAAGGCACAGTTCTCTTCAAATAGAACTGCTTTTTTCCCTTCAATGAAAACTTGGAAAGTTAAAGGGCCAGAAAAACAGTACTGGGAATGGTAGCTACAGCAAATGAGAAAGCCCCCAAGGCATCATTTGATGTGGATAGCTAAAACTGGGAAATAGCACAGTATTGGTGAAACTTGTTCTGCCATGTGCCAAGACAGTACTTTCAAATTATGGCAGAGCAAGGTAGAGCAACTGATTCAACTCCAATCCTTAATTACACTATTTCCAGGTGCATTGCCACTACGGCAAATGTGACTGAATGATTACCAAAATTTAGTGAAGTCCTCTCTTTTCTCATTCAACCTGTTGAAATGACAGATGTGGTGGGTACTGTCAGATGCTGACATGTTAAATTTCAGAATGACAAAAAACTAAGAGGAATTTCTGTTCTGAAGGCTATTATCATAGCAAACTACAGGGAACTGGCTCTTCACACTTATGGATGCTTTTGATTCACATTTGGGCTTGGAATGGAAGCACTGCGTAGGAATCTGCAGTGATAGCACTCGTGCAATGACTTAAAGAAACAGGGGACTCGTAACGAGTGAAGTCTGCTGCACCACAAGCAGTTTGGACTCTCCGTATTATATACATACAAGCTCTAGTTGAAAAAAAATTCCATCTGCTCAAACAAGTTCTTATTAAAGCTGTTCACACAATTAACTTAAACAAGAATCGTTAAGGAAGTGTATATCTGTTTGGAGTATTGTTTTATGAGATGGCTGAAAAGTTTGCAGATACAAGAGGCTCGCTCTGATAGCTTACCTGATGGACATTTTTGAATGCTTAAATGTGTTAAATACCTCACTTAAAATGTGACACGCTTCATCTTTTCTCTCACTGAGAAAATTGAAAGCTGGATCAAAAAACTCTTTGTGGTAGACTTGTGTGAACCATGGCAGTTTTTAAGCTTTTTTCCCCCCACTAGATGACTTTTTGGATGAAAATGCCTTGCTAAAGCACTACTTATAAACCTTTATTATCAGCCATGAAAAGCTTGAAGCTACAGTTTCTGACTATTCCTCTGAAAAGTATCAGGAAACAGAGGCACAGATTAGAAATCCCTTAAATGGAAATGTGACTTAAGGATGTTAAACTGCGGTTAATTTACTAGTCGGGTAGTAAATTTACTAGTAAATTGCGGTTAATTTACTAGTTGACAGGCACTTCCACATTCCTCCTTCGAAATATACAAGAGCCCCCTGGGCTCTTGTACATTTCAAATTAGGAATGTGGAACACAGTGTGCAGCCCAAGGCCAGCGGGATGTCCCGCTGACTCCGGGCTACATGTGGGTGTGCCAGCTTTGAAATGTAAACTCCTGTGCATTTCAAAGCAGAAGCACACTCATGGAGCCCAGGGTCAGTGGGGGGCTCCCCAGCTGACTGCAGGTTCTGCGTGGCATTTTCACAGAACCCAGGGTCAGCTGGGGACTCTCCCAGGCTCCAGGTGGCACTGCCCCTTTGAAACACCGAGACGGCGTTTCAAAGGGACAGCGCCTCACAGCTCAGCTGGGCTCAGCTGCACGGTGCTGCCCTTTGAAGTCTCCTCCCACCTTTGCTGGGATGAGAAGGAGTAGTTGAAAAGCACTATCAACTACTAGATTACCCCCTCCTCTGTCCCTTTAATCACTTAATTAATTGCTACTTCACATCCCTAACTAGATATAAAGATTATCTTGTGAATTAAAACATTTAGTGGCTGCATTTCATAGATACAACCTTGTAATGTTTTTATTTAAAATACTAACAATTCTGAGTAACTATATGACCTCAGTGCCCTCTGTAATTTTTCTTGTCAGAAGGGAGTTACAGTACAATGGACTTTGCAAGCTGATGTATTATACTATCAAATGTTCACCACATACGATGGAAACTAACAGAAGTATTTTCTCATGTTCAAATGCCCCGTAAGTCTCCATCTGGTTACTCACAGAACTGATGTTCAGCCTTTTCTTTGGTCTGCTTTGGAAAATGAAAGTATTATCCATGTTATACTTACAGAATTTAACACTATCATAGCATCAGGCTCCAGCAAGTGCCTCAGACTTTGCAATATGCAAAAGATAATCCTATAAGGATGAAGTCTGCTTCAATGTCATACAAGGTTTTTATTGTCCCCTGTAACAACTCTTCAGCACACAGTCCTTCAACTAACTATTCTTTCCTAACACAACTGTTTCCAAACAAAAAATTTTTATGTATTAAATTATATAACGTTACATAACTTTTAAACATACCTAAAAGTGCCAGAAACCAGTGATTAACAGTATTACCCATATTATATGGACATTTTGCTCTATTTAAATTTCATCTTTTGTGATGTGTTTATTGAACTCATTAAACTATCTACGTATTTACATGGCCCCATTACCACAATATCCGAGTACATATAAGAAAACATTTCCTATTTGTGTCTCTCTGCAATTAGTACATTAGTCAATAGTTGATATATTTACAATATATATACAAATTCAGCTAAAAAAAGTGTTCAAAATTTATCAGAAACTGCATCACTGAAAGCATCTATCAACATTCACCTGTTGATGTCTTCTCACGAAATTCTTCAAGCTTCAACAAAGTTGCTGAGGTCAGTTGCTCTAAATGTACATCTTTCGGAGGCCTGAAGAAATCCACTAAACAATTCACAGTTCTCTGTTAAAACAAAGATATAATAAACATAAAACAATATATATGCTTACCGTATATACTCGAGTATAAGCCGAGTTTTTCAGCACAGTTTTTGTGCTGAAAAATGACCCCCCTCGGCTTATACTCGAGTCAGCCTCCTGCTCGCGGGCGGGCTCAGCGCGTCTCTGCCGCCGGCCGGGGCTAGATGCGTGAGCCCGGAGCCCCGGCC